TCCTGCAGCACTGTAATGGCGTTGACTGGCGCCAGAAGCTGGACTCTCAGCGAGGGGCCGTCATTGCCACTGAGCTGAAGAACAACAGCTATAAGCTGGCCCGGTGGACCTGCTGTGCTTTGCTGGCTGGATCCGAGTACCTCAAGCTTGGGTAAGAGTCTTGTCCAGGAGTTGTGACCTGATCATCTTCTGGAAGGAGGTGTCTTGGGGCAGGGAGATGAGGGCTTGCCTTTCTCTTTCCCTTGGGAAAAGCATCAGGCCAGGCATCCCCATTTAATGGCTCTCTGCCCCCAGAGGTCTCTAGGCCAGCCTGCCCCAACCTCTCACACCCCGTTCCCCCACTAGTTATGTGTCCCGGTACCACGTGAAAGACTCCTCGCGCCATGTCATCCTGGGCACCCAGCAGTTCAAACCCAACGAGTTTGCCAGCCAGATCAATCTGAGCATAGAGAACGCCTGGGGCATCCTGCGCTGCGTCATCGACATCTGCATGAAGCTGGAGGAGGGCAAGTACCTCATCCTCAAGGACCCCAACAAGCAGGTCATCCGCGTCTATAGCCTGCCTGACGGCACCTTTAGCTCCGACGAGGACGATGAGGATGAGGAAGAGGAGGAGGAAGAGGAGGAAGGTTTGTGCGAGTCTCTCTGTGAAGTCTTGAGTGAGCCGTGGGCTAGCTAGAGACCGAGCTCTGTGGCCACGGTGTTCCTGAAGGCAGACGTAAAACTTTTAGGGAGTTCCCAGAGGCTGGGCTGAATTTGGAGTGGCATTCACTCTGGCTCCAGGAGCTGCTGCTTTAAGAGCCTTCGGGCCACACGAAGTGGGTGGGGAGGAGGGTGGCCTGTTAGAGGCTGGGGTGAGGAAGGAGCACCTGGGAAAAGCGATGCAAGTCCCTGATGTTCACAGGGGGCTGAGGGAGAAAAGGCGCTGCAGCTTAGTTACACGAGCTGAAAGCTCCCCGGCTGGCTTCACCAGCTGGAGACTGACGGAAGTGTCTTTTAGCCCTGTGAGGATCTGAAATACCTGACTTCTAAGTGGAAGTGTTGAAATCAGAAGCAATTTACCAGTCTGACAGGGCTCATGAAAAACTTTGTATCTTTCAGAGGAAGAAACTTAAGCCAGATGGTGATGTGGAGCTGGCGTGTGTAAACCTGCCAAGCCCAGGAGGGCCTTTGGGGCCTGGTGGAAAGTTTGTCTCATACTTGCTCTCTGGAGTTTGAATGATGGAATAAAGTATGTCACTTTAGTCTCTTACTCTCATCACATGCCTACATTATGATTGACAGCCCCCCTTCCTTCTCTAAGGAGCCCTTGGGAGAGGGAGAGAAGTTTCTGTCTGGCGTTCTCTGGGTTCTGTTTGTTCTTGAGCATTTTTAGTTTTACTGTCCTGTTAGAAGGTGAGTACCCTAGGTTCTCCTGTTCTTGGAGCCCCGTGAAAGTACCCTTCCCTGGAGAGGTATCAATTGTGATGTCCCCATAAGAAGTCCCATTTCCACAAGCAGGAGTGCCTGCTCATTGTGTGCCAGACCCCATTGCTGCCCTTTGAGACAGAAGTCGTAGGAAAAGGCGAAGCAGGGCAGTCTTTGGAGGTCGAGGCGGGCTTGCTGCTCATGGAGACGGCCTCCGAAGATCCTGACACATCCTCTGGGCGGCAATCACAGTGGTCCGTAAAGTGCTCTCGGGCTCGGCTTGGGCTGGTGACAGTCTCCAGCCGGCACCTTCAACGCAGGGCATGATCAGTCAGAGCGACAGGTGTTTCGGATATGTAAACTTATTTTTATTAAGAGCACTGTTTCTTTATTAAGAGAATAGTGTTTTGTTCTTCACACTAGTTACTAAAGTAATTGCCTTTCCAGGTATTGCACGAATCTTTCTAGAAATATCTGAGCCTGACACAGAACTTAAAATGACACAGAACATACAGATAAGGAAACAGGCTCGGCTTTTGAGTAACATTTCTAAAGTTATTATTTTAATCAAAATAATTGTGCCTCAGAAACCAAACAAAATTGAGTTACTGGGAAGGTAGAGCATAAAACGTGTTTACTAAGGAGTTTTCATGTACGTAGAGTGTTTAAAACTACAGATTATCCCTAGCAGGTATGGCTCACTGGATTGAGCGTCAGCCTGTGAACCAAAAGGTTGGTTCGATTCCCAGTCAGGGCACATCCCTGGGTTGTGGGCCAGGTCCCCTGTGGGGGACATGCGAGAGGCAACTAATCAATGTTTTTCTCCTTTTCTCCCTTCCTCTCTCTAAAAGTAAATAAATAAAAGACATACTATTACAATACAAAAAATGCTCAGATACTGGAAAAAGCACTGAAGTCATCATAGTAAGATAATTTCTGCTCTAATGGAGCTTTTCTCTGATGGTGACAGGCTATGAAAATTATAGGTGAGTGGTACTTAGTAGTCTCTGGTCTGAGAGATCAAGGCTAGAGAGGTTTCAGCTACTTTTTTTATTGATTTTTCAGAGAGAAACATTGGTTTGTTCCTCCACTTATTTATGCATTCCATTGGTTGCTTGTATGCACCCTACCCTGGGGTCAAACCCACAACCTTGGCGTATCAGGATGACACTCTAACCAACCAAGCTACCCAGCCAGGGCTTAGCTACTAATTTTTTTTACGATTTTATTTTTAAAGAGAGCAAGAGAAACAATGTGTGAGAGAAGCATCAATCAGTTGCCCATAGCACACTGCAACGAGGGACCTGGCCCACAACCCACACATGTGCCCTGACCAGAAATCGAACCCATGACCTTTGAGTTTACATGAGGCTGCCCAACACACTGAGCCATACCAGACAGGACCAGCTACTATTTTTAGTGAAAACAAGCTCCAGCCATGCAAAGCTAGGAGACTATCAAGTTCTTTCCATACTAGGCTTGGCTGCCTTTCCATGAGAACCCTCAGCTCCATTTCACTGCACCACTTAATGCCTCCGGAAGGTTCCTATACTTCCCTCACAAATGCAGTGTGTTCTGCCCATGTAAATCTTGATAAAAATTACGACACTTTAACAGGATCGGTCAGGGTCTGTGGGAGGAGCTGGGGTTTACAGAAGGACTTCTCACACCATATACTGGAAGAGCTCTTCTGTGGTAACTGTTCCCCCACCTTTAACTTCCTCTTTCCTTCTATAAATTGCTCCTCCATTTTAGTCTGGTTCAGTGTGTGCACGAGGTTTGCTGTATTTCTCATAAATCCTTTTGATGATTCCCTATTTGGTTATGTTTTCAAGTACACAGTCTCATGCAGGATCCACATTCCACCTCTGGGAAGCCAGCTACGATGGTCCAGTTCACTTGAATGGTAGTTGAGCACCGTCCTGCCTGCCTCCACTTCAGCCACACTGTTGCTGTGTGGTAGCAGCGGGTTTAAGTGTCTTTACACTGGCCTATCATAGACCACTTTGTTTACAAACAGCATGATTTTTGAGTGATTTAAAAAACACTGCAATGAGCTCATAATAATGTAAAAAAAAAAAAAAAATCAATTCCAGGCTTTCCAAGCTCCACTTTGTTGTGATCTTAAGCAAATCACCCCTAAACCTATGGAGGTTTTGGCCAACAGCTACAAAATGTTGGAAACAGAATCACCAACTACCTCACAGTTGGTGGAAGATCAAGTCAGTCATGAATGTTTTCTTAATAAACAATAGACTGAATCATCGAATCAATCCGGGTAAGAACTTCAAACATGTAAAGAATTTTTATTTGAGCCAAACAGAATATGCCTGGAAGCAAGATCTCAAAAGACAGAAAAATGCTGCTCGGAATGAGTTTGCAGTTTCTTTAGTGCATTTGGAGTTAAGGAGGGGAGGGTTAGATTGCGGGAAGGAGAGAGAAAGCTAGGTGGAACTCACTGCAGGAGCTAAAAGTGTATGCTCTCTAGGTGCCAGTTTGAGGGTCTGAATAGTCATTTCAAAGGTGTGTTAACCTAGGTGCACAGGAAAACTGGGCAGCGCTTGCTTAAGGCAAAGATAAAACTAAAGAACTTAACAGCCTGGGGCAAGACTAATCACCATGACCTACCCAGCTGGGAATTCATCAGATCAACCTGTGAGGTGACTTTCTGTAGAATCCGTTTGTAGTCCACAGTGGCAAACCCTTGTTAATTGGTTCTTCTGTCCTGGCTTCACCAACTTGGTTTCCAGTCTCCAAAATCTCAGTAGCCAACTAGTCTTTGGCTACATTAATGGGAGTATAAACTGGAACTACCTCCAAAAATAATCTCCCGCGCCGCGTTTACGAGTGAAAAAGCACAGCTTGAAAACAAGATCCCCACACGGGTGCTAGAATCAAACCTCTGGCTGCGGCAGCCGCAGCCCCGAGCACCGCAGGTCGGAGCCTCTCCAGCCGGGCCTGCAGACCACCGCAGGCCCACCGCCCGGCGTGCCGCGCGCCGCGCACGTGACCCCGCCCCCTGCCGTGGGCCGGGCGGGAGGGCGGGGCGGCCTCCGCGGCGCCAGCCGGCTTGGCCCACCGCGGCCTCACTCTCTGCGCGTTGCCTGCGGAGCCGCTGCGAGGTGCGAACGCTGGGGAGGAGAGTAGGTCGGCCGGCTTGGAAGGCCCGAGCTGCGCGCCCGGGCACCACGCACGCGCGGGGAGCGGCTCCGAGAGGGCGCGCCCGCAGGAGGGCGGCCTCGCGCCCGCGTGGCGGCAGGTGTGCTGGGCATCTCTGTCGCCTGACCGAAGAGCCCCAGGCACCTGGCTTGGGCTGGGGTCCGTGCAGGCTACACTTGCTGCAGGCTCCAGCCCGAGGGCGGAGGCGTGGCCAGAGAGACTTATGCCCTTACAGACGCTAGCCTGCGGAGGGCCCCAAGGCGTGTTGGACATCCTTAAAATTAGGGAGAAAATGGGGGAGCACCCGCCTTCTTACCATCTTGGCAGTAAGAATAGGGCTGATGCCCCGGGAACCGAAGCCCTGAAGGCGATGGAGGGGCTGGGGATTTCTGGAGGGAGCTCCAGATCCGAGCTTGAAACGCTTCGTGGCAAATGAGCTCAGAAGTCCTTGAGTTCTGGTCCTGGCTCCTCCCCAAATAGCAGCGACTCTCACGCAAGCCTCTGCCTCTTTGCAGTTCCCGTTTCTCACTCACCTCCCTACGCCTCAGGCCATCCTGGTCCGAGGCCTCACCCACCTGGTCTGCCGCAAGATGGGCCTCTCCGTCGTGGCCCCCGCGTGGGGACCTCCGGGGCTGCTCCTAACCATCGCCCTCTACCCGGCTCTCACCCTGCACCCCGCTAAGGCCTTGGTGCCCCCACACCGGGACTACTGTATCCTGGGCGCCGGGCCCGCGGGCCTGCAAATGGCCTATTTTCTGCAGCGGGCCGGAAGGGACTACACGGTGTTCGAACGCGCCGCGGAGCCGGGCAGCTTCTTCACACGCTACCCCCGGCACCGCAAGCTCATCAGCATCAACAAGCGGTACACCGGCAGGGCCAACGCCGAGTTCAACCTCCGCCACGACTGGAATTCTCTGCTCAGCCACGACCCCCGGCTGCTCTTCAGACACTACTCCCAAGCCTACTTCCCCGATGCCAGCGACATGGTGCGCTACCTGGGCGACTTCGCGGCCAGGCTGGGGCTGCACGTGCTCTACAACACAACCATTGCCCACGTCACTCTGGAGAAGGATCGTCAGGCCTGGAACGCCCATTACTTCATCCTGACGGACCATGGGGGCCAGGCATACCAGTGCAGGTAAGGAGCGGGCCCCAGAGCTCACCTGCTGAAGCCCGGGCCTTTCCTGGAGGAACTGACACTTGGTTGGTGTGAGAGGAGTGGGAAAGATCTGCCACCCCTTGCTTGCTCCCACTGAATTCAGGGTTAAGAGGTTTAGCTCAGCCATCATTTCCCATATGTGCCCTAAAAAAATTGTGATCAAATACGTTTGGAAAATACAACCAATTCTTTCCTCCAGGATATTTCAGTCTTTTTAATAGCTTCATATTCACTGCTACACTCCAGCAACGTTGGGTATTCAGCATTGCCTAAGCTTGCGTACCCACAAACCTTTTTTATAGAGCATCTCCAGGAACTAGTTTCCCCCAAAATACATCCTGAGAAATGCTGGGTCTGGCAGGAGTTAGAGGGACTCAGTGGGATTTCAGAACTGAACAGGAGGGAGAGGGTCCTGCAGGCCAGGCTACCAGCATTATGTTAGCTTGCGAGAAAGCTTAATGTCCTGCCGGCCACCCAAATTCAGAGTCACAAATGATACTGCACTTGTTTCACCCTCACCAGAACCCTATGGGACAGGCTCACTGATCCCCATTTTACAGGTCAAGAACTGAGGCTCAGAGAAGTTGAGTAACTGGTGCTATGTCACACAGCTTTGTAAGTGGTATAGCTGCGACTTGAGTTCCTGTCTCACTGACCCCCAAGCCCGAGTTCTTTCTGTCGCACCAGGGTGCCCCTCACTTCCTGGCCACTAACCAAGCACCTGGCTCCCGGCGGGTGGTCAGAGGTCACTGTCCCAGGTTTTTTGCCGGAGGCCCAGCCTTGCTCCGTGCTTGTTACAGCCCAGGCAAAGAAGGATTGAGCCGATTTGGGCTCCCGCATTCAAACAGCGGCGCTACAGTATAGGGGAGTCAGATTTGAGCAGAATTGACAAGAGTCAGAAGAGACGGAGTGAAAGGGGCTACACATGCCCCCTCTACAGGCCAAACAGTTGGATTTTTGAAACCACCCTGTGATCAAACCATTCTGCTGTCGGGCGGGATCCAGCTCCCCAGCCGCCCACCACAGCACTGCAGACCCACCGGTATAAAGGACAGGACTTTGGAATCAGGCTGATCTGTGGTCAGGGTCTGGCTCTGCTGCCTTGGGAGCTGTGGACAACCCGCCGTGGACTGGTGTCTCCTCACCTGTAAAGCTGGCCAGATGACACCAGTCAGGGCTGCTTTGAGCAGAAAGAGGATGCATGAAACAGTACAGGGCCTGGTAGAGAATTACTCCCCAGCAGATGTCTGCATCTGCTAAGCAAGTCAAAAAAAGGACAGTGAAACAAAAAGTCTCATTTTCATCACTGAGGGCGATATTGGTCTGACTGCTGTGTTCAGAATTGAGTGAATTACTCGATGTCACACGGTGCCACCTTCTCCTGCCAGTCAAGTTCATTCTCACATTTGGTATAATCCCAGGGAGGGGTGAAGGGAACTGGGTCCGCAGGAGTGAGCTCAGCAAGGGGCAGGGTGGTCTCGCATACACTGGGATGGGTCCATAAATGAACGAACAAATGAATGTCCTGTTTTCTTTTCGGGGCCAGCAGTCTGGGCCAGGCGGGCAAGCCAGGTGGCTGGTCCAAAGAGTTGATTTTCACTTAGTGCCTTATAGCTAAGACACTAAGCCAACTTCCCTTTGTCCCCCACCTGCAGTGTCCTTCTTGTTGCCACCGGTTTGTCAGTCCCCAACCTGGTGGACTTCCCTGGCTCTGAATACGTGGAAGGTTATGAGTCTGTGTCCGTGGACCCCAAGGACTTTGTGGGTCAGAACGTGCTCATCCTGGGCCGAGGGAACTCAGCCTTTGAGACTTCCGAGAACATCTTGGGTGTCACCAACTTCATCCACATGCTGAGCCGCTCCCGCGTCCGGCTCTCCTGGGCTACGCACTACGTAGGAGACCTGAGGTATGCCACGCGGCTGCGGCGAGTGTGTTGTGTCCAGCCCCTCTAAAACCACTCCTGACCCCAGCTGGACTAACCTCCTCTTCCTCTGAGTCTCCTTGTACCCAATACAGACTCCTTTCTCTCTCCCGGCATGTCCCTTGGGCCCCAGGGCCGTCAACAACGGCCTGCTGGACACCTACCAGCTGAAGTCGCTGGATGGGTTGCTGGAGTCCGACCTGACGGACCTGGCTGTTGTGAAGGACCGCGACGGCAAGTTCCACATCACCCTGAAGTTCTTCGTGGAGGAGAACAACCAGAGTGCCGAGGCCATCCCCCTCCCCCAGGACGACAGTGACAACTTCGCCATGCGCGTGGCCTACGACCGGGTCATCCGCTGCCTGGGCTGGAACTTCGACTTCTCCATTTTCAACGAGTGAGTCCGAGTCGGGGAGGAGCTGGGATCCCGTAGCAAGCCCCTCTGAGACCTCCTTGGGGGAGCAGTGTCCCCGTCCAGCAGGGCCAACCCTGGCCAGGCTTTTAGGACTCCACACTTGGCCTGGAGGCGGGCGCTGCCCGGCTTTCCGCCCAGGCCTGAGCCCTCTGTCCATTGAGAAGGGTCCCAAGCGGCCCTGACTGTCCCTACCAGAGCAGCAGCAGCAGTGAGCCTTCCTCTGCTGAGTATGTTGTGACCCTCCATCCGAGAGAGGGGAAGGCAAGAGCCAGAAGATGAATTTGCTGAAAGGCAGTGCGCTGGCTAAGAGCCCAGGCCCTGGGGTCGGTCTCCGATGCTTTCTTACCACACACGTGGGCTCTGGGAAGGCTCCTAATCGTGTTTGGCCCCAGTTCCTCATCACTAAAACGGGGATCATAGTTATTGGGATTTTTTTTATAAGGCTATTGTGAGGATAAACATAGGAAGCTACTTGGCATATACTATATGCTCAATAAAAGGTTAGCAGCTGAAACTGTTTATAATTGTATTTTGAAGAACTGCTTTGTGGTTCCTCGTCTTTAGATATTGCTGCCCCAGTACCTTGGCAAGGCTTAGGGTCAAAGAATCCATCCAGGGTCTCAGGTTCCTTCTGGCCAAGGCACAGGCAGACAAGAACCCGAGGGTCTGAACCAGACCCTCCTGTCCCACCTGGTCATGCACAGAGCTGAGTCTCGTCCCAGAGCCCCGCCTCGAGCCAGGCTTGAATCCTGACCCTGGCCTTGACTCACTGCCTCTTTTCCCTGAGCCACAGTCCCCCCCCCCCCCCCCCCCGCCGTCTCTTAAATGGAGAAGGTTGTACCCGCCTCCTGGGCCATGGTATGATTTAAATACAGTAAGGAGTGTAAAGCATTGAGCTTAGTACCAGGCCTGTCCTCAGTGTCTCCTATACAGCAGCGATGTTTATTAACAACGCTTTCTGCCCACAGGTCCCTCAGGCTGTCTTCAGGCGGTGAGTTCAGCAAGAAGTACCCACTGATCAGGGCTAGCTATGAGTCCAAAGGAAGCCGTGGCCTCTTTGTCCTGGGTACGGCCAGCCACTCTGTGGATTACCGGAAGTCTGCTGGGGGCTTCATCCATGGATTCCGATACACAGGTGAGCCCAGACAGAGCCATCGCAGGGGCAGTAAACACACTGCAGTTTCCAGCAGCCTTCAAGGGGGTGGCTCATTCGTAGTAATCGTCATGTATTCCGTGTCTGGGGTAGATGGCAATGGGTTGTCATGGTCTGAGGATTTGTCTAGAAAAGCATCAGATAAAGTGGACAAGTACGTGCATCTGGGGCGGCGTGTTTTGTGCCTGTGCCCTGTGTGGGCGAAGCACCATGTACTGGTCAGAACACTGAGCTTGAGGAACGTTGACCTGGGTTCCTGCCCAGCAGGGGGGCCTTGGAGGTCAGGCATCATGACCTCTCTAAGCCTCCGTGGGATACACCAATGTCCAAGGTGTGCATGAGGCGAACCCCTGCCCTCACGGGGCTGTGGCAAGGACTAAATAAGGCCATACCTGGGGACCACGCAGCTGTGAAGCATCTCACACACACAGGTTTTGGGTGCCAACAAATTTCAATAAGAATTGCAACTGGATTATATTCATTCTTTTCTGGAACGCTAGGTACTGAGGGTATAAATTTTATGCCCTCTGGGTGGGCTGTTGGACTGGGGCTTTATCACACAGTGAGTGTTGCATGGGCCAGGTAATTCCGCCGTGAACACCATAAAGGTCCTGCATCCTGCATTCTGACATTTCTGTATTTAAGTTGATGCCTCGCACGGCCTTAATGCTCGTTTTTGCATTTCACTCTCCTCCCAGTATGGCAGGGAAAGAGAATCATGTTTCATCGTTGATCTCCAGACAATACGTGTTACACCTCACGCGTGTCGTCAGAGGACACCGGGGAGAGGGCATTACGTGTCTATAGAGCGGAATATCTGCAAACTGAACACACGCACACATGGCACACACAGTGAGAAGAGGGGCCCTTCAGCCGAGGGCCCCCACTCAGAAGCCCTCAGCATCGTTCCATGCCCGCCACCCTCCCTGCGCCCCCGTCCTGGCACGCACCGCCCCATCCCTCTTGCTTCCTTGTGTCCTCTCCCCAGCTCATCCTTAATCCTCACAACAGCCCCACAAGACAGATTCTGTTATTTCAACTCTATTTTGCAGATAAGGAAACTGGGGCACAGAGAAGTTAAGTAATTTGCTCACAGTCACCCAGCCCGTGGGTGGCAGAGGTAGAATTTGAATCCACATCCGCCCGACAGCAGTGCTCACAGCTAACTGCAAAGCTTCGGGCAAATGAGAAACCGTCCTGGGCATACAGGCCGCAGATTGCTGTGGTCACGACGGCTAGCTGAGGACCCTACTCGGGAGAGGGACGGTGTGGCTGCCCGCACCTTGCTCACCACTGAGCTGAGAACAGGCCCCGGGGGAGACAGGAAACAGTAAGCAGAGGGAAGCAACAGGAGATAAAGGATGCCTGGGCACAGACCGCCACTGCGCGGAAGGTAGGAGATGCAGGCAGTCTGGCCCATCCCCCGCCCCCAGTCCATCCCTGCCTCGCTTTCCTGGGTTGGGGCCTCTCCGTCTCTTCTGACTGGTCTTCCTGGCACTAGTCTTTCTGGCTTCCCATCCCATCCAGCCACCCAAGTATCCACCAAAGCAACCCTCCTTTAAAAAAAAAAAATCGTACCCTTCCTCCCCTTACAAATGTTGAGTGGTACCCCGTCTCCACAGCGGAGCTTGGCCCAGGCCAACACCAGCTTACCTTCCGGCCTGGTCCCTCGCCCACTTTCCACAACGTGCCAGGCTCTCCTAAGACTTCACTCTTCACATGTGTGTGCCTTTTGTCAGGGCACCATTCCCAAACTCCTCACTGCGTAATTCCTCAACCTTCTGCAACACTCAGCTTAACCAGTTTCCTCTGGAGAGCCAGATGTCCTGTGAGGCTGCACGCCTTCCTGTGACTGTTGGCCAGCTGAGTCCCCATTCGTGTGAATTGTCTGCGTCCCTGCCTTTATTGGATCTGGGTGTTGTGTTGATTCACTTTGGAAGAGCAGGCACCTGTGTATGGTGCCCCGCTTTCACAACTGCATGTGGGAGCCCCAGGTATACAGAAAAACAGCTCCCCGTCATTTTCCTATCCTTATGTAAATACACAGAGCATCTCGAAATAGAATTTAATGACAGATTGGATTAAGGCCATGAAGGAGAGGGAGCAATCAGAGGTTTTCCACAGGGCAATCTGATGAAACGGGGGCTGGGGCACATTACAGAGAAAGGCTCTGGGTCTAGTTTCCGCATAGCGCAGGAGGCTGTGGGACTCCCATGTGCAGATGGCCGAAGCGGGGCAGGGCAAACACCGGCCCTGCGACCGGTCCAGCCACCCCGCTGCACTTAGCTGTCCTCCTCGACCGCTTTTGCACCAGAGGCAGAGTTGAGTTGTGCAACAGACTCTGCAAAGCCGAAAATGCTTCCCGCCTGGCCCTCGCAGAGACTGTTGGCCAATCCCTCTCTGATGGCGTCTGGGAGCGTGTAGACAGTGTGCATCGAGGTCAGAAAGGTTGATGGGGGCCTTATGTCTCTCCTGATGGCAAAAGGTAAATTCTGAAGTGCAGCATGCCCTGTCTCCCTCTGGCCATTTCAGTGCGCGCTGTTCACCGGCTACTGGAACGTCGCCACCATGGTGTCGCCTGGCCCTGCACCGAGCTCCCCATCACACAGCTGACCAGCGCCATCCTCCGGCGCGTGAACGAGGCTTCTGGGCTCTACCAGATGTTCAGTGTGCTGGCCGATGTGGTGCTGTTGAAGGAGTGAGTCGTCCACCCCCGCCCCACTTTCCCCTCCGCCCGCCACACATCGTCACACCTCCTCTCCCCCTGTCCCAGGTAGGGGAGAGCCCAGTGGTTCCCTCCGAAGATGAACTCTGGGGCGAGGGTAGGGGAAGTGTATTTATTCTGGGGAAAAATCGGTGAAATCAACACCACACATTCTGCAGACAGACAGTCCTGAGTGTGAATCTGGGCTATGCCTATTCTGCTTGTGTGGCCTTGGGCAAGGTAGTTAGCCTTTCTTTCATCTGCAACAGGAGGATAATAACACCTACCTTGCAGGACCTAGGAAGGAGTAAAGGGAACTCTAGGGAGCATCTGGCACCAAGTTAGCTGAGCAGTAAGCTGTAACACCAGCCAGGATTTAAGAGTTGCCTGGGGCCAGGACCAAGTTGGCCCCTTATCAATCAAGTGATAGAGGGATACTTGCTGAGCAGGAAAGTGTAGGAGGGCTGGAGGCCAAGGACCCCTAAGGACAGGTGGCAAGTGCAAAGCAGAGGAAGAACAGGCTGGTCCAAAGCCAGGGAGTACAACAGCACTCCAAGGTCAGGGGCAGGAGCCTCGCAGCGCTCGGCACAGGAGCCTCCCCTCAGCCTTTCCTCCCCTCCCTTTCACGCTGCTCCACCGCCACACTCAGGCTGTCCGTAAATCCTGTCGGCTCCTCCTTCAAGGCGTCTAGAATGGGACCCCCCTCACTCGCTCTGCGGCTGCCACCTTGGTCCAGACCCCAGCATCTCTCCCCTGCATGGGAACAGCAGGGTCTGCGGCCGGCACGGTGGCCCCGGTGCTCCTTTTAAAACACGAGTCACACAAATTCATCCCTGCTCAATGCTCTCCAGGGGCCATGGCTTCCCCTCAGTCCAGATGAAACCAGAAGTCCCCTTCCTGGCACACACAAGCCCTCCTTGACCTAGGCCCATGGGTCTCCCTACCCTCATCCCCCGCCCCGCCCCCCTCGACTCCACTGCAGCCACCCTGCCTCTCCCCGTCCCTGGAACACGCTCATTCACCCCATCCCAGGGCTTCTCCGCTACTCTTCCCTCGGCCTGGATCGCCCTTTCCCCGAAAGCCGTGTCAGGTCACTCAGTTTTCTGGAATCCATCCCCCATGCGAGTCAGGGCTCGGCTGTAGGTGATACTAACATGAGACGTGCAGGGCTGATAGAGCCCAAACGCTGTGGGACGGTGCCTTCTGGGAGGCAGAGGGGGCGGGCCCACACAGGCCCACACACGCAGGCCTCTCGCCTCCGCCGCAGCACTGAGGGGCTCGCCCTCCACTTTGCCCGACCCCCAGGAACGCCACCGCGTTTGAGTACCTGGAGGAGTTCCCCATGCAGATGCTGGCCCAGCTGGAGACAATCACCGGAAGGAGGGCCAGGCACGGGCTCTTTGTCGTCAACATGGAGTATGGCAGAAACTTCTCAGGACCCGACAAGGATGTCTTCTTCTACGAACGGTCTGTGGGGCACACGGAAGACGCCTGGCGGTCTAACTTCCTCCACCCTGTCATCTACTACTACCGGCACCTCCCCACCGGTGAGCTGGGCTCCTGCTCTCCCTCCCGCGTGGGCTTTCTTGGGGTGGGCCCTCCTCAGACCCTGCTGTGTGTCAAGCTGTCACCGTTAATCCCTCACCTGACACTCAGCTGGCGGAGGACCGCTGGGGACTCTGCCCAGGGGCCAAATGGGACAGAAGGTCCAAGAATGATAGTGATGTTCCCAGGTTCTGGCCACACATGGAGTGGCGTGATCGCCAGGCACCACATAGTAAGGGGGACACTGTCCTGCTGTGTGTCTCCAAAGGAGGCTGACCATGGGGTGGGGAGGGGTGGCCTGGGGCCCACCTGAAAGAACAGGGAAAGGAACTGGAAGCGGTTAACGCAGGAGTGCGGCAGAGGAGCACAGAACAGCTGGGAAGCGCGCCCAGGTCTGTCCTTTTCTTGCTGTGTAACCTTGGACCATGTCTTAACCTCTCTGAGCCTCAGCTTCCTCACCTGTCAAATGGGGAGAAAACCAGTACCCTCCTTCCTCATAGGAGCATAAACGAGACAGTATCTACAGGATATTAGCACAGAGTAGCTTCCAAGAGACAAACCTCCCAGGGAGCCCGACTCCTGCCGTGGGTCTTGAAGGGCTGTCACTTGCAAGAGGAAGATCTGAAAAACAGCAGAGACAGTGTCAACAGGTGGAGGGGACAGGAGCAGCGGTGTGTATCCGATGTAAGGAGCAACAAACAGAGCTGTCCCACAGCAGGACGGGTTGCCTCCTGGAGTCGCATCTCCCAGTTCAGGGGTGGCTGGGCCATGGCTTGAGCCCTCTGACGGAGACACCACAGAAGGGGGTCCACAGCAGGCGGGAGGTGGGCCAGAGGAGCCCAAGACCCCTTTGGGTGTGGGACCTGAGCCTCCTCACAGAAAGACCAGTTTTGAAGCCTAGACCTCAGTGTGAGTGAGCCTTAGAAAAACATCAAGTTCTTGTGATCAGTCTTAGTTCTGCCCTCTGATATCACAAGAGACAAGTCTCGTTTTGTCCTGCTTCCTCATGCTAACCTTCCAAACACTTGGAGGTGGCCATTGAACAAGCTGGCCGCAGCCAGCGCAGAGGCGTACCAAGCACAAGCAAGTGAGGTGGGCAGCGGGGGTGTGCAGGCACCGCGCTGCGGGTCCGGCTGGGGCAGCCCGGCCGCCGGGCTCTGACACAGCCCCCGCCTCTCCCCCCAGAGCAGGAGGTGAGGTTCCGCGCCGCAGACTGGCCCCTGCCGCGGCCCGCGGCCATCCACCACATCGTGGAAGATTTCTTGACAGACTGGACCGCCCCAGTGAACCACATTTTACCTCTGAGGCGCTTCCTGGAGAACTGTTTGGACACTGATTTGCGAAGCTTCTATGCAGGTAACTTAAGTTCCGGAAGGACAAAGGGACTGAACTAGGGGCTGAAAAGAGACCAGGTAGATTCGTGCACTGTGATATGTTTCAGGATGCACCTCTGGAAATGCCAACCCAAGGCTTCCTTTTCCCCAACATGGTGGACTAGGTGTTCTCAGGAACCCCACCCAGTACAGCATGCCTGAAAACACTGAATATAATGTCTTTTTTTAAAGGCAGGAAAATAAGGGCACTTCCCAGAGTCCAGATACTAAGAAAAGCATAAACCAAGCTGGGTGTGGTTATCTGCTGGTCCTCAGGAGGCTCGGCTCGGAGTGGCTGAGCCGCACCTGTGGGTAGGGAGGTGAGGCTGGAGCAGGGTGCAGGGTCTGTGTGGAGACCCTCAAGTACACTTGGGTCTCTGTGGGTAAACGAGGAGGCAGAAAACACTCTCAAGATGGAGGCGGTGGAGACCCATGCTCCTTGGCTCTGGGTGAACCGGGGGGAAATTGCCCCTGAGAATTTCCAACCACAGGCCTCAGGCGTGTGAGTTTGCTGCCAGCCTGCGCATCGTCACTGCAGCACAGAAGTCACAGGAGTAATCGCAAGTCTTCTGTGAAGAGGCACGCTGCAAAACAGGGCCTCAGGAAACTGCCACAGGTCAAGTTCCCAGGAACAGGGACGCCCAAGCCAAAGTCACTTAGCACCAAGGACACAGGCCACCGTGAGGGAGTGTCAGCAGAAACGTGACTAAGCTCCAACCAGAAACTGGGAGCTGGGACGGTCAGAGAGAAGATATAAAGTCTGTCTGAAAGGTGTAATGACATGAAAACGTACTTGTTGAAAAGACAGCTGACTGGTCAGTTTTGAGAAAGATTCACATAAAACTTCTGGAAATGAAAAAAATAAATTAGTATCTAGAAACTCAACATAAAGATGTAGCAACAAATTAGACAGGGGTGAAGAGAGTGTCGGTAAACTGAGAGAACGTTCTGACAGCCAAACCCAAAGAGGGACTTGGGGAGAGAAGTCCGATTATCCAGAGGGAGGACTGATTGAAACAGGTACAATTTTGTCTGTTTTTAATCCCCTTATTGCCTAGAATACCCACTCTTTCCTGTTCAGCAGCATCTGTTAAACACCAGTTGCATAGAGGGCACTATTCATACCCAGTCAGGTCCTTGTTCCACCCCCGGGTGATACCCTCAGTCCACACTTTGAAGTACAAATGTACATATTAAGGGAGATGGCTTAAAACAGCAGTTTAAGTTAATAATCTAAATATATATGACGTTAAAACAATAGTTTAAATTTAAATAGTCTAGCCCCAACTGGTGAGGCTCAGTGGATTGAGTGCCGGCCTGCAAACCACAGGGTCGCGGGTTCTACTCCCGGTCAGGGCACATACCTGGGTTGCAGGCCAGGTCTCCAGTTGGGGGCACGCAAGAGGCAACCACACATTGATGTTTCTCTCCCTCTTTCCCTCCTTTCCCCTCTCTCTAAATAATTCTTTTAAAAATAAAATTAATTAATAGTCTAAACATATATATAGATGCTCCAACTGAGGTAATTCATAGTTAGCATTCTGCAAACTGTCAGCTTACACATGAAATTGCATGAGGTCTAGAAACCGCAGCTACAAAGCCCCCGCCTGTGTCTTGAGGTTTCAGGGGTACATGAAGATGCCAGTGCACCTCAGGGGCTCTTCCCGCCCAGAGTCCAGGCTCCTGCCAAGGCGCCACCGGGCTCCCGCTCCCTACACGCTGCTCAACAGTGCAAGCCGCCCTGTGTCACTGCCTTGAACTTGGAGGAACCCTTCCTGGTGCAGGGCCAGCTGGCAGATGGTGGGCTTTCTCTCCACCCCCTTAGCTGATGCACCGCTGCCGCCCCGGTGCTGCAAAGCTTCTCTGCCCTGCAGAAGGCGGTGCTTGCAAAAGGCCACCGTGCTGCCCCTCCCCCATCCTCCCCCACATCTGCTGTCCTCTCTGCTCAGAGCAGAGCGGATTGATGGGGCCGGTTCTGCCCGGGACCCTCTGTGCTGTAAGTCAGAACTAACGTGGGAAACAATACGTATTTGTGTAGCGGCCTGTTCACCCATGCAAACCTCAACAACAGTCCTTGCCGTACGGAGGTGGGCAACAGTAGGGTCACAGTTGCGTTGTGACATTCTTTTGAGTTAATAAAGCTGTTGTAATATCACAACCCGCATGTCTTTTCTCCATATGAACAACTGTAAACCGACTTTACCTGCCCTGTATGCCCATTTTTTTAGATAAAAGACTCAGGCTGGTTTTCTGGCACTCACTCCATCTTCCCACCCTGTTTCCCAGCCCCTGAGAGGACTGAGCCCGTGTCTGTTTCATCTTTTCTACTTTTTAAATCAAAGTTATGTAATACTTCGCTAAAGGGCTTTCCTCCCACCTCCATTCTCGTTCTCCAGAAGGAGCTACTTCTAGCTCTTCTACTGGTTTCTTCCTATTTCTAAATAATAAGTATCCACGTGATTTCCTGATGGCTCTGACTTGACCTATGCACCAACTGCTGTGGCACAGGCAGATAAATCACAGATGCAGATTGACTCGTTTTGTCTTTTTTTCTTAAGATTTTATTTATTTGTAGAGGGCAAGAGAGGGAGAGAAACATCAAAGTGCAGCTGGTTGCCTCTTGCACGCCCCCAACTGGGGACCTGGCCCGCAGCCCAGGCATGTGCCCTGCCTAAGAATCGAACTGGCAACCCTTTGGTCCACAGGCCAGTGTTCAGTCCACTGAGTCACACCACCCACGGCACCCGTTCTGTCTTTATAACCCCCGACAGTGCTGAAAACAGGCCTTACACACAGCTTTTGCAACTCTGATGTTGCTGAAGAAATAAATCTTCGCAGGCAGCTCTGACCTCAAAATGGAACTGAGGGTCACTCTCGAGCTACTGAGTCCCCATGCCAGGCTGGCTCCATGCAGAGCACCCTGCTGGGCCCGGTCTCTGGAACCTTGTTTTTCCCAAATGTCAGGGCAGCCTATTCCTGGATCCTCTGAAGGGGCTGAGTTCCGTGGTCACTCAGGCCTGAGGTGCGATACCCAGAAAAATTGGCTCCAGGCTCAGGGATGGAGGGTCCTGGGGGAGGCCCCTGGGGCACCAGCAGCTCCTCCCTGCTCCTCTCCCCACACCGACTCATTCGTCTCCTTTTGCTTTTCCATAGAGTCCTGTTTCCTGTTCGCCCTAACACGCCAGAAGCTGCCACCCTTTTGCCAGCAGGGGTACCTGAGAATGCAGGGGCTGGTGGGGACCAGAAGCCTCCGGCAGCACAAGGCGGAGAGTGGGCTCCTGCAGGACTGTGCTGCTGCGGGCAGGCGCGGGGAGGACAGTGGCCAGTGGCCTGGCCACTGTGAGCCAGGAGATCAGTCCCAGGCCCCGGGGCCTCTGGTCCAGGCCCTCAACAGCGACAAGGAGGAGCTGTGATGCCCAGGTCCCTCCGCCTGCACCCTGGCCCAGTCAGCCTTCCTTCCCCGCAGCCCCCTGCTCCCACCCGTGTGTGATTGCCAAAGACCAGTCGGACCATTGCTGCGACCCACCAAAGCCACGCAGAGGACACGTGAGGGCTAAGGGTAGCCATGCGGCGGTCTCCTCCCCTCCTGTGGGGTCCACAGGTGCCTGGGGGGCAGGGCCGGGAGAAGAGCACCCTCTGCAGGTGGGAGCGGCCTTCCACTGCCGGGCTTGTCTATAAGTGGGTGGTCGCTGCGCACCACGCTGGCCTCCATTCTGCCTCCATCAAGTGCCCAGGGCTTCCTTTTCCTTCTGGTCTGCCGTTCCAATGGGCCCTAATTCCACTCAGTGGAGCGTTTCACAGGTGAAACCCATCCTCATCTTCATAAGGGTTTGCAGCAGGCTCTTCAGAACAAAAGCTCTAATATCCTCAACCACCTAGGGCACGTGGAACTGTTACGCCGGATGAAGACACCAGCTCAGAGGGGTTAGGTGACTCCCAGGGACCCAGCCAGGAGTCCCTGCTGGGTAGCCCTAAGGCCTTCCCCACCACACATGCTGCCCCTCCCCGCCCCCATCTGTGTTTCCCAGAAGGGGAAGCGCAGAGCCGGGCTCCTGGTTATGAGCCCCGTGGGCTGTCCATCCGGCAGGGAGCACGGTCTCATCAAAGCAGGTCTCTCCTGGGCAGCGGAGCTTGAAGCTGCTTTCTCCCCAAGGCTGCCCTGCCTGACTTCAATCTCTGTTTCCTTCTTTCATCTTGGCCCGTGACATCCTGAACATCGCCTTGCCTCTGGCCCATCAAGCTCTGTAACACCAGCACCATAGTGTCCTTTGGCGGGATTCTTTTGGAGGTGACGTCCCCCACCATTTGAACAGAGCCCCACTCAACTTGTGCAGAGACATTTATAAATGCATTCGCACAATTACGACGATGAAGTTACGTTTCAGTTCCTTTAAGTGTCCTGGCGCTGCTTCATTGTCCTTCGTCACCAGGAGTCTGTTCCTCCTCTACTCTCCCATCAGGCATTTTAGTCCTATTTATGATTAAGCCACGGGAGAGCATTGTAGATAAGGTAATCAGGGTGACCTCTCAAGGCCCGGGACTGTTGGTGGTTGCTTTCTCTCTGGTTCTCACTAGCCCTTCACGTAGCCACTCAGAATTTGAGGCGCCGGGCTTGCTTGCTGCACAGCCATTTTCTGGGACCGCTCTCGTGGTTCGATCCAAATTCCCGTCCTCTGTCTGCTCCCCCACCCTCACCTGCAAATGCCTCTCCCTCCAGTCATTTGTAGAGTTAGAGCAATGAAACTCCAGCCGCCTTAGCCTGTGGCAGATATTTACCCCTTGACAATACTTGGCAAAGTTTGCACACAGCTAAAACTTCTAAATTAAGGTCTCTTCCTAATCCCAGGGTGCTGGGTTCACTGTGTCTCATACAGATTACAGGCAAACCAAGATCGGGTCCATCAGCCCACCTTTCCTTTCTAAAACCTTTTTTAAAATGAATCTTTTCATTGGGGCTGTACCCATAATATCCAATTCTGGTCATGCACATCTCGCCAACCCAACCGCTGAAAAGTGGCTGAGCCCCTTTTCCCCTGAAAGTTCGAGGTGCTGCAACACATACGTCGTTGATGCCTGAATACGTGACACCTGCTGCTTTTCCCATCGTCTGCCAAATTGTTAATTCCATCAAAATATCAGCCGGCCTTATTGGTGTTGAAGACACGGTTCCCTCTCGCTCAGCGGAGATGTCTGAGCGAATGTCCCTGCCTGGCATTCTTCTAAACCAATAGTTGGCTTCAGACAGAGAGATGCTTTTCCCTGTGAAGAGCGCGCTGCGCTTGCCAAGCCCCATCTCCGTCCTGCCTCCCCGCTGCCAGCTGGACCAGGCTCCTCTTCTAGCCTGGCCATGCCTTCATTAAGTCCTTTTTTGTTTGTTTAATGTTACAAAGTTACTGGTGCAAAATATGCAAATCAGTGAAATAAAAGGCCAGAAACAGACCCTATTCTAAGTAAGAAGGAGGTGATTTTTTAAAAATCACCCACCAACAGAGAAGGTTGTGCAGGAGCATGCGATTAAATAACGCTGGACCAACTGGTTAGTAATTTGGAAAAGAAAATACATCTCATTTTAGACCCTGTTTCATACTATACTTCAAAACCAATCCCCGGTGAATTTTTTAAAGCCATATAGAAACTGGAGGAGAAAAGGGAGTCCTCTGATGAAAGGAAAACTTTTCCAAGTCTTCAGAAGAGTCATTCCCCAGGTGGAAAGGTTTAACATTTCTAAGTCTACTCATCGAGCCTGTACCTAATTAATGGGACTAATTGAACTAATTTAAAGAAAACAGTAAAAATTAAAAGGCAAAACAACATGGGCAAAAAGAGAATAGTAATCACAGCAAACTATAACAAAAATAAACAATAAATACCTGTATTATACACAAAACTGATGGAACTAAAAGAAAAATGAAGTAAATTGTGGTGCGTTCACCCCACAGAATATTTTACAGCTTTCAAAAACTCTAAAATGTGGTAAAAGTTGGTGCACTACCAATGCACGCGTAATAAAGTGAAAAGGCGCAGGATATGAAAGTATAGTTGCAACTACTAATGAAACTAGGAACCACACATGGGGAAACTGGAAAGGAAGCCTCACAAAATCTCACCCGTGGTTGCATTAGGTTTGCAGAGCTTGTTTTGGTTTTTGGTTTGGTTTTTTAATTTTGCTTTTTCTTCTTTTGTCCAAATCTGTGGCTATTCTCTACAGTGAAATAAATACATTTATCTTTTTTAAATCACATCTGTTTTGGCATTTAAAGGGGAGAAAACGGCCTTGGTCTAGAGAAGTGAATTTTAAATGGGGTGTGTTCCTCTTCTAGAGTGTTCGGCCTGCCTGACCCAGCCATAGCAGGGGTCTCTGGAAGAATCTTTCCTCACACATGATAGAAAATCAATGATTAAAACCCTCATTTTGTGTCTCCTGGGTGCTGTCTCCAATCCATTGTAGAGCCCCAGATTTCTTTCACCTGATAAAACTGGGATGTACCTAAAAGCTGCCTAGAAATTGACTCACCAAGAAGGGAATTTGTCTGCTAAGCCAAGCATAACACGTAATCATTTATTGAGTGTCTACTACATGCCCAGAACTGTGCTGCAGTGGTTTTAAAGATATGCCCACAAGTTCTTTGACATTTCTCCCCCAAAGAGTGGAGCTTAGTTCCTGCCTGCTGGGTGTGGGCAGGACTTCATTATTCACTTACAGCAAATGAAATACATCAGAAATGACAGGCTGTCATTTTCAAGATTAAGTTATTAGAAAGACGCATCCATCCACCGAGAGACTGTGCTCCCCAACCCCTGCCCCCGTCTCGGTCTCTGGTGTCCCTCCCTGGAGGGAGGCCACCTGTCGTGTCAGAAGGACACTCAGCACGCAGAGGCCCACAAGGCAAGGGACTGAGAGCGGCCAGCAGGCACGGGAGTGAGCCTGGAGGCGGATCCTACGCCAGCCCTGCCTACAAATGACTGCAGCTCTGGCCACCACCTTGCCATGGCCTCATGAAAGACCTTGAGCCAGGGCCACCCAGCTAAGCAGCTGCCTGATTCCTGAGCCAGAGGAACTCTGACATAATGCTTGTTGTTTTAAGCTGCTAATGTTGGGGAGGGTGGTATTTGTTACACAGCAACAGGTGACTAATACATGCATTAAGTAGCTTAATTAATTAATTCTCACCACAATCCTAAGAGGTAGATATTACTATTCCTGTTTTACAGATGAGGAACCTGAGGCTGAGAACGATTACACAAGCCAGTGAGTGGTGTTGTGCTTTGAAAATCCAACTCCTTCAAGCCAACCTCTAAATATTAAATAAAGCAACCACCTCCTCATTACCATCCCTATGAGTTCCTTCATGTGAACACTGGGTAACAAAATACTGAGACCAAACCCAGGAAAGTGTGTGGTTCGCACAGGAAGGCAGAGACGTGTTGAAATGCTGACTACACAAAATGTACCCTCAAAACAAGTATTAACCCACTGGGCCGACCCAGACGTCTGGGGACCCAGGCGGGGAGGGGTGGGGAATGACTCCAGGTGGGAAGAGGAAAGCTCTCAAATCTGGAACGTGGGCCCTCTCCTGGCTTCAGCCTCAGGATGCCCAGCTCTCTGACCAATCACAACCTCATCCCCAAAAGCCAACTTGGATTCTTCCCTAGAGAAGGAACCAGAAGCGGCATCATTTCGCTGCAGATGCTTATTTTCTTAAGTATGGTAAAAAATGCTGACTGGGGTATGGTTTTTGTCAGGCTGCAGGCTTTAAAAAAGCATTTAATTCAATCTGCCATCCCAGACGGAATGTAAATCTGCTACAAAGTGAAGTTGATGGGCAAATATGTGAGATGCTGTAGCCCAAGTGTTTAATCTAAGCACATCACACGACCGATCCATCAAGCCTGAAATAAAAAAATAGCATGCAACAGATGTGCTTAAGCAGGGAAGAAAGGCCCAACAGAAGGCCTCGGCCCTTTCTCAGTTCTGCATAAATAAGGCTGATTTGCCTGCTCTTCTAGATAAGCCCCAAGCTTACAGCAAAGTGCAAAATCTTTTTGAAATGTATCACTTATTTTTTCATTCTCTTTGAGATGTTACCATCTCAGACCAATTTTTCACATCCTTCCAAAACATTATCAATTAATTAGATGCAGAAAGCCCTACCAACAGAAAACAACCAACAATGTGATATCTTAGAATGTTCACTAAAAACCAACAATGTGGTATCTCAGAATGTTCAGTTGTTATCTGCCGCTGTAGTTTAGAACAAAGCAACTACAAAAATATATGAGATGAGCCCCTTAACACCGACCACGTTTAGGTTTTAAATAAGCCAGTCTATTGGGGAAAGAAGAGGTGCCCAGAAGCCTCTCTTGTAGGTACTGTGGTAGATAAATGTCCAAAAATTCTATGACAACTCCTGTCAAGATGTGAAGTCTATGTCCTCTCCCCTTGAATTAGGGACTGTTTCAACCAGAACATGATGGAAGTGATGCCATGACAGTTTCTGGGCACAGACCCTGGGAGGCTGGCAGCTTGCACCGCCTGTCCGGGAACCCAGCCACCGTCCGGCGGGGAAGCTCCCGGGAGAGGCCCATGGGACAGCCAGCACCGACTTGTAGCCACGTGGGTATACCATCTTGGAAATGGATCGTCCAGCCCCATGTGACCTCCCCACGCGAAACAGAGGTGAGCTGTCACTGCCTAGCCCCACCCAAAGTTCATATTTATGAGCAAAATAAGTTTGGGGATGGCTTGTTACGCAACAATAGGTAAGTGGGATAAGCATGGAGCAAAATATAAAGGTGACTTGGTGAGGATAAACTTGTAAGAACAGGCATAATATTTGCATTCGCAGTTGTTAATAAGCATATTACAAAGACAATTGCCGAACATGCCCATCAA